CACCAAGAAGGCAGAAAAGAGTATTCCCTGCATGCGGGTACCACTGACGATTAACCAGCCTGATTTATTGGAGGAGGTGCTCTGGGGGATGGCCTTGATCCTCCAGGTCTGGAGTGCCTGATCCTGTCTGTTGGCGCCAGAATAACAGGCTGGGCAAATTCGTTCTGCTCCGCTAGTGCAAACTCACCACTCCAAGTCATGCGGAGAGCAAAGCCTCCCGGAGAGCATCCATGCACGGCACCGAGAACCGCGTAAGAGGAAGGCAGGGATCAAGGCAGGGGAACATAGAGGGCCTTTCCTTTCAACTCTTTTGTGTGAGCAAAAAAGAAGCCAAGGAAACCCTCAGAAAAGCAATTGGTGAAGAGAGGAAAGGAAATGCCGTTACAAAACTGGAAACCTCATCTTCTTGTCGGTGCCTCTGGCCTGAGCAAAGCCCGAGACGAGGCACTGTTACATGGAGCTGCTTGGTGATGAGTAATGCTCCCTCCTCCTGCCTTCCTCCAGGGACTGCTCACCACCAGCAGGATGGACAGACAGACGGACAGACAAAGCATGGACTGGGCAGGGGAGGACGAAGGAGAGAAATCTTAATAATCAGCCTAAAATTGAGTCACTTCTGCTCAATCTGATTTCTCCTAACTGGATCCACATGTCCTGGCCATGGCACATTAACTTCAATTATGGCTTATTAATGTCTCCGTGATGGAGCGTGCCCCGCTGAGCACTGTGGTGACTGACATTATGAAGGGGAAAAAATTACTCCAAAGAGACACGGTGTATAATGGAAGGAGAACCGGCGGCTTTCAGCGCGCCAGCCATCAGTCCTGGCAGCCAGGAAAAGCTCATTCACCCATTCCTGAGGAGATAACTGAGCTCATTGCTGCACCGAGGAGAAAACTAAGCGGTGAATAGAGATCTGCGGGGAAAAGTCTTTCTGCTTCCCTTCCCCACCCTGCCTGGCACACACACAAGCACACAGGCCAAGGGCTTGCTTGTGTCTATTCCTGTCTTGACTCCTCTGCATCTCCAGTTACTCTGCAGATCAATAGGGACAGGATGGAAGAAGAAAAAAAAAAAAAAAAAGAGAAAAGAAAAAGATACCAGGAAGAAGAAAGAGAGTAAAAATAAACTGTTGGCCATGAACGGAGAAATGGACCTGGCTGAGGCTGTGGGAGGAGGAGATGCAGACGAAGCAGGCAGAGGAGGCCCTGAAGCACCAGCCCATTGCACCAACACCCAGGAAGGGAGCAGTGACCCTCAGGATTCACCAGACCCTCTGGAGATCCTGGCAAACTCTTGACTGCCCCTGTCCACCTGGCCCACAGGGGGAGAGAAGGCAGCAAACTCCTTCCCCTTCTCCCCATGTCCTTTGCTCCGTCTCTTTCTGCTTTTCCCAAAAGCTCTGGGAGATCGCAGTGAGGGGTATTCCTTGGTGAGAAGCAGAGGGGTGAAGGATGGGGTGCACCTGGATGGGGGCCCAGGAGCACGTGGCCCAGGGGCATCAGAGAAACCTCTCTGAACCCACCGGCTAAGGCTGTGGCATGAGAAACCACCCAGGCTCATGGTCTGCTCTGAGGGCAAAGCATTTTGCTCCTCCCTTGACCGTGAACATCAACTGGAAATGAGTTGCCATGTGCCTCATCACCCTGCAGGCACTGCCAGCTGCCTGCCAAAATCCTGGTGCCATACAGGGGCACAGGCGATGCCACACACCGCTCCTCTGACAGCACATACCGCGGCTGGGCACCGCTTCTCTGTCTGCCCGGGGCTGTTCACATCTGTAAGTCACCGGCTCCTCTGCTCTCCTGGTGGGATTTTCTGGCTGCTTTTTGCCTTTGAGCCTTCATTTCTTCATAATCATCTTCCCTCTCATTTCCATGACCCCTGTAGTGACTCCCTAACACCCTCCCCCCCCCATTTTATCTAGGCACTTTCCTCCTGTTCTCGAACGTGGTCGTTCCCACGTCCTGGAACAGGCAGCACGCGTCCGTCCCCAGCCCTGCCTCCCCCCTTCCCTGCACAGCGCTCCTGTCAGGCTCACATTGATTTCTCCTCTCTTCCTCTCAATAACCCACCCCTTGTTGAGCCATACACAAGATTTAATTTGGTTTTAGTCCCTGCACTGTAACTGGCTTTGCTTACAGCTGGAATTAGATTGCTTTCCAGCGAAAAAACCTGCTTGCCGAGTCTGGAATAATCACAGGAGCAGAGTTAATTCACATGAAGCTTCTCCACCTTATACACCACTTATCCACAGCTCCTCAGCTGGCCGTCCTGCCCTGCGCCCATCGGAGCTGGAAGAGTCAGCCCAGGCCAGGCATCAACTTCTTCCCCATCCAGGATGAGCGTCCCCTTCTCCTGGGGACCAGCCCAGCAAGCGGGGACAGCTGGGGAGAGCTGGAGCAAAGCAAAGCTGGGTCTTGCTGTAGCTCAGGACTTGGAATTTGGGCCCGAAAAAGCAGATTTCAGAGTTTTCTGTGTCCCCGGCCAAGGAAAAGCCCTCTCCTCCCTGCTGCATGGAGGAGTCGCTGTCAGGCAGCTCGCGGTGAACGGAGCCAAGAGGGAAGCGGAGGCGAGCCGTCCACCCGGGCAGCCGTCCATGCGGGCAGCGTGCCAGCTCTGGGGGGAGGCCACCAGGAATCAGCCAACAAACCCCAACCCGTCTCGTTCTGGCCCCAGCGAAAAAGCAGCCTTGCAGCTTCCACCCGGCTTTCGCAGCCCGACCCTCCCTCGCCAGTGCTGTCCTCAGGATGCAGGCAGCTGTGGACTCTCGGATGTCTCATAGAGGTTGTGCCCCACCTCTCCCCGGGGTGTTTGAAGGAGCTTTCCTCCCCTGTCCTAGTTGACTCTTTTCACAAAGTTTATAGGGATTTTATCTCTTGAAGCAATCTCCGCTGCTATTAAACAGTATTAAATTTGGACAGTGAGTTCAAAACATGCTGGGGGACTGGTGGGGGGAGGAAGACAGCTGACAACTAGCAAGATGCTGGTTTGTGGAGAATCCCACCAGCACAGCCAGAAGTTAAAAGTACTGAAGTGACATATCCTGCACAAGACAGGCAGAAAAGGTAACGGCCCCGGGGGAGGAAGGCATTCATGGGACACCGAGAGTATTTTAACGTGTATCTTAAAGCATCAAGTACCCCAAAGGTGCTGTAGGTGCAGTAACAAGTCCTTGGTTACCTGCACAGTCATCTCTGTGCTTGGAAGCCAAAGGTCATTGCACAAGGGCATCAAATATTTAATCCTAATTTACCACTTTCTGAGCTGAAAACTCTGTGTCCCTGTTACAGAGTCTAACCAGCCCGGATAAATTGATAGACCAGCTCCAACCCTTCCTGCCAGCCGCCCCTCAGCGTGGGCTTTGGCTGGGAATTCATCCCTGTGGCTTTGCCACCGCTGTCGGTTAACACCAAGCATCCCTGCGGGCAGCTCGGCCGCCCGGGAGGGAGCAGAGCCGCGGCAGACGGAGCAGGGGGCAGGACTGGCTGTGTTCGGGGTGGAGGGGAAGGCAACGCGCTGGCCTTTCCTCTCGCCTTTGCCTGCTTTCCTTTCAAGCCTCTTTGCTTTGCTATTTTGCCCCATCCCGAGCTGTTCTGAGGACTGTGGATATTTAGCACGCCTGGCAATACTTCTTAGGGGCAGGTGTAAAATGTCTCTCCGCACATTTATATACAGAAGCACATTGCACTGAAACCCGGGCGCTTGCAGATGCACTTGACGGTGCTCTCCCGCACCTCTGCCCGTGTGCCTGAGCTCCCCAGGGTTCCTCCCCGAGCAATTTCGGGGTGGAGGGGAAGGCAACGCGCTGGCCTTTCCTCTCGTTTGTGCCTGCTTTCCTTTCAAGCCTCTTTGCTTTGCTATTTTGCCCCATCCCGAGCTGTTCTGGACTGTGGATATTTAGCACGCCTGGCAATACTTCTTAGGGGCAGGTGTAAAATGTCTCTCCGCACATTTAGGGCACGCCGACACGCCGCCAGCCGAGCTGAGAGCCACAGCTGCTCATCCCACACAGGCGACTGCGCCGCGAGAGAGGCCAAGCCCCTCTGCCTGCTGCTGCCCTCACCGCTGCCTCCTGCCTCCCCCCGCGGGAGCAAAGGGCTCTCCTATTCCTCACTGCAGCTTCCTTCCCCCTGGAGCACATTCAAAGCCAGCCTAGGCGGCACCTGCAAAACATTTTTGCTTGCAAGTGTCAGAAGCAAACAGTTTGGAACCGATACAAATGGCTCTTCTGTCGCTGTGGTGATTCTTGTTAGCACGGGGTGGGTGATGGGGAGATTTTTCCCCTCTCGCCTGTAAGTCTCGCACAAGCTGAATCCACAAGCTGGATGGGAAATTAGCCATCTCGGCATTTTTCCACCTTACTTTGCTTTTTCAGTTGATGTCATAACGTAACATATGGCATCGTACAGAGAAATGAAAAACAAAAACCAGGAGAAACAAACCCCCTTCCCGCCTTCCCCTGCCCCAGATCTGTCGGGGGGGTTACCCTCACCCCAAACTTCATCTGCCGGAGCCGGGGCTGCTCCGGGGGTGCAGGACTGACTCAGGATGACCCATCCTGCTTGTACTGGCGGTGAGCAGGAGTTTAGTGAGGCGAGCCTCATTCCTCACCCCCCCAGATCCACTAGCGTCGCCCCTGAGATTTTTGGGCAGAGGCTGCCCGCGTTTGCACAGCTGGGGCCAGGGTATCTCAGAGGGAACTCAGACCCCGACTGTCCATCCAAGCTGTGTCCCAGCTCCCCCCGCGCCAGCTCCGGGAGGACACAGCCCTTCTCTCAGACATTCCCGCGCCAGCCTTGGAGGTGCCCCAGCCGTTCCCTGCAAGGACACATCTGTTTTATTACCAATACTGCCCTGCCTTGGGAGAGAGGGTATTAGAGGGAGAGACACCAATAATCTTACTGGTCGACAGAAACGCTGATGGCTTAGTTTTCTAGCAGTAACCCTCTTCTCATCCCTCCAAGAAGAGACGCCCGAAGAAATACAGCAGCCATTACCTGCCGGTGACTTCAATGTTGGAGACGGCATAGAAGTACTTGTACAAGTTCTCCCTCTGCACGTAGGTGCCCCCCAGGGCCGGTCTCAGCAATCTCATCCGCAGGTCGGTCACGGTGAAGAAGTCCTTGAGCCCTTTGGCGCTCTCCAGCCGGGTGTACAAGTTGTCCATGTTCTTGAGGTCGGGGCCAGCAAAGATGGCAAAGCGGTCCCTCACCTCGAACCGGACGGTCTTCTCTTTTTTGGAGCCCGCCCAGCGGGAATACTCCTCCGTGCAGAGGACCCTGTTGGCACTGGTGGTGGAGAGGTCCCGGACCCTCCGTGCTGGCATGCTAAAGGCCTCCATGCAGTCATCTGCGTAATATTGGTACGGGTGCCAAGTCCTCCCGTTGTCCAGCGACTTCTCCAGCAGCATGATGGTGGGTCGGCCGTACTCGAAGGTTATCACAATGTCATCCGTCAGCTCGATGCTCTTGTTCCAGGACAGCGTGATGTTGGCTAGCAGCGGCTCCGGGTACCGGCGCCACGTCACGCTCTGCCAGTACGTGGCCAGCCCTTCGTCCTCGCTGTCGAACATGAGTTTCGGTGGGTGGGCCAGGTCCGGGTTGGAGGCATCGCACTCGTCGCTGCACAGGTACGGGTTCTCCTGGAACAACAACAACGGTCACAAGAGAAGAAGGCAACGCCTGGGCATCGCGTGGGCATCGTGGGCACGCAGCCGAGCTCGCACCGTTACTGGGCCCTGGTTTTAGCTGCTTGTGTCAAATGTTAACTGCTGGGCTGAAACTGGAGTATGAATTTAAGACAGAAAAATGTGGCTTTGCCTTTGCTGTAAGAACGGCTGAGCTGTTTCCTTTGAAAGGCCCTTCGGGAAAGGGCCTTTCAATTTGGCACGGGGGCAACTTTCATAGAAAGCGCTTTCCCTGAGACAGTCTCTGAGAAACTTCGCTTAAGGTTGGCCGAGTTACAAGCCCATGGAAAGCTGCGTTCACCCCTGCTCCCTTGCAAGAACCGAATGGCTGAAATCCCCAAAGCACATCCATGCCTCTGATGGCTCCTGATGCCGAATGGGCTGGGGAGACACCATCTCCCCAGTGCCTCTGAGCACGGCTTGAGGAGGGAAACCTGATTCCTCAGCTCTGAGCTGGGACAGGACTGGGCGGTAGTGGAGAGAGCAGAGATTTGTGCTCCCGGTGTCTCTGCTGTCCGCAGGACAGCACCCTGGCCTTGGGGACAAGCAGAGCAGGTATGCTCGGCGTGCACCCGCTCAGCCCAATGTGATGACCATCGCTGGTCACTCCTCAGTTCAACCTGCCCAAACTAACCAGAGGCTGAGCTGACAGCGAAGGAATCGGGAAGGGAACAGGGCAGGCAGCTCTGTGCCCACCCGCCAGCACCCAGAAGGGACCCAGGACTCCTGCAGCCTAAACACTGTCCCCAGCCACTTGCTGCTTGTCCAGGTGCCCTTAGCCTGTGGCAAATACAAGATAACGTCAGTTAACGTCCGTCTTTGCAGAAACTGAGTTACGTAGCTGTGCCTGGCAGGCCTGCTGCCTGCGGGGACAGGCACTTCCCAAGCCACGCTGCCTTCCCCAGCTGCAGGCAGGAGGTGCAATGGTCCTCACCCGCCCGCAGGGACCACGGTGGGAAGGATGGCTCATCCCATCCAGGCGACAATGTCCGCTGCTACGTCACTCGTTGCCTGCAGGCCTGGGCAATGGCAGAAGAAGTCCAGCCATCCCATTTTGCCCACAACTGACAGCGCATGTCAAGCTCACATGTTTTGCATGGGACACACGCACGCATCCACGTGTGCTGAACTGCACTAAGGACATATCGTCAAGGTCACACACCAAATGTTGAAGTTTCGGAGGTGGGCATCAGGGTTAGCCGTGCCAATGGGTTTATTGCTCAAGCATACATGTGTTAAAGCCCATCATTACAAGCTGGGGTCTCTCTTGCCCTGCAGCCCCTTCCTTCAGGAGCGTGTGGGTCAGAGCTGCCTTGGGGGTGACGTGGGGCTGTGTTATAGTGGCTACCGTCCGCAAAAAAACTCTGCAACACACTTCAAATCTTTTTTGCATGTGAAGCATCTCTTCGCTGTCGCTTTACTTCCCGCTTGGACTCAAAATCCAGAGGATCAGGGAGGCAGAGGGATTGGTATGACAGCGGGCTCTACTGCAGTGGGACCCTCATCAGGGAGGCAGAGCCACCTGGCAGAGGAGGAGGTGATAAAGCAGCTGGAGCTGCTCAGAGCCGATGGCTGGAGGTGAGGAGCCTGCTGGGGCGTGAGGTCTGGCCCTCTCGAGCACAGCGGACTTGCAAGGTAAGACCGAGCCGGGTTTTGCGGTTTGGTTTGTGAATGCTTTGTGCGCGGTCGGGAGTCCGTGGGAAGGTGCTGTGTGCGGGGAGCAGCGTGCTCCTGCCCGGCCCCGGGGACCTCCTGCAGCGCCAGGGCTGTGCTGGGGTGCAGGGGCTGCTGGTCCCCGGCTCACAGGGAGCTGGTGCTAGTACCTGGGGGCTCAAACAAACAAGATGAGGGGCTGGGGTCTGCGCAGGCTGCTTGTGTCCCAGGGCTGGGAGAACCCCGCTACAAGCGTGGGGAAGCGTGGGAAGAGGCCGCTCCTGTGTCCATGGCACTGGGGACTGATCCTGCACTGTGGGCTTGCTTTGACCTGGGAAGCTCTTGGAGTCTAAGTGCTTGTGACCTGCTTTTAGGGTGCCCTGTGTATACCCCGGGCAAAGCAGAGGAGGGGATCTGGCTTGGACAAATGGATGCTCTTGGGTGCAAAGCGCAGCTGTGCTTTGAATGTGGAAAACAATGTGTAACATGAGGTGCTTTGGAAAATCTGGGCTTTGCCACCTCCAGTTGGGCAACCAAAAGTCCTGGGAACTACTTAGAGCTCCTCCACTCCGCGTCTGTAAAATGGGCCTTTGGTGCCTCCCCGCAGCTTGGAGACACGCGCTGAATGTGAGCAACTGTTTGCACAGCGAGTGGAGGCCACAGCGCCGAGGAGCCTAGAAAAGCTCAGGAGGACATAAATAATTCTGTCTTCTGAGCAGCGTGCGAGTAGCACTCTGTAAATAAGGCAGAAGGCTGCTCTGCCAGCAGCGGGGATAAAACAAAATAGCGAGCAGCTGATCTGTACGTGAGCACCAGGCTCCTTTGCAGGGGATGCAGCGGTGGCCTTGGGGAGAAAAGGGGACTCCCGTAAATAAAGCATGCGTTGTCATGTGTGTGTGCACGAGGCTGCCAGGGAAAGCAGCAAAAGCCAGTTGATAAAATGGAGCAAAACTCACGCTGTTTTCAACGTTGTCTTGCTCTCAGACACACACCTGCCCGATGGTAAAGCCACGAGTTCCGTGCTGGGATTTGCTCCCCCTGTTACAGCCTTAACTTGAGCGACGTCTGGCTTTTGCCATCCCCATGTGTGCTGGGAGGAAGGGCTGCAGCCGGAGCTGTTGAGCTCCGGTGCGGTGCCCATCCCCGGAGCAGGGAGGCTAACTAAATGGATGCTTCGATGGCTGTTTTAAAAGCAAATGGCTATAGTTTTATTATTTTTCACTTGCTTGCAGCTGTGCCACCTGAGCAAGGGAAATCAATGGAGTGCTCAGGCTTGCTTGGCTTGGTCAGGTTGACAGCACCTGCCCGGGAGCTTCCCCACTCCCCTCCCAAAGAGGGGGAGCTGCCCCAAGCAAGGGGAGATGCCAGCTCTGGGTGCAGTAGGGCTCTGAGCAGCGCCAGGGGGTCCTCTCCTGCTGCAACATGCTGTTCCGGAGCAGGGATTTAAAAAACCTAAGATATTGACATATTTAATATGCTCTCCTGACTCGTCACGTTCAGAGGAATTGTTTACCTCTGCTAATGAGACAGAGCTCCCTGCTGGGGGATGTAGCTGCCTCTTAGCGCAGCTTTACAGCGGTGGCTGATGGAAAAGGAAGAAAAATCCCCATCAGCTGAAGCGCTGGGGGCTCTGAGTACGTTTCCTGTGCTGAGACAACATATTGTGTCGCAGTATGGTCCTACTGCCAATGTGGTCATACAGATGGCTTAATAGGACGGTCCTGAAAAGACCATCCCGGAGGTCTGTTTTCACCTCTTGTCTGAAGGAGGGTGCAGCAGTGCAGCACCTTGGTGGGCTCAGGTGGGGAATTGGCTTGAGGCAGCAGCACAAAACTCCCCGATAAACCCACCTTGCTGCTCAGACCAGCTCTGTACGAGCAGGAGTCTGCGTGCACGGAGCCGTCCTGGCAAGAGTGCTCTTGCCGTGTGGCTTCCTTTCCTTGCATGCAGCAGCCATCGGGGCTGCCAAAGCCCTTGAGCTTTGAGTAAGATCTGCGTGCACGGAGCCGTCCTGGCAAGAGCGCTCTTGCCGTGTGGCTTCCCTTCCTTGCATGCAGCAGCCGTCGGGGCTGCCAAAGCCCTTGAGCTGATGTAAGTTGAATCTCCACTGAGTATTTGCTGCTAGAGCTGTCCCCAGCGTGGCCACGCTGGCCAGCTTCACCTTCGGGGCTAGGGATGATGCTCCCTTTCAAGGTTTTCTTTGGAGGCTTCTTTAAGCAGTGGCCAAACTACACAAGGGAAGGACTCTGTGACCAAGCCACAATAAGAAAACATTACCCAGACCAGCAAAGGGTGGCCAGGGTAAGAGGTGGGACAGGTTTCCCAGGAGCGGTGAGGGAAGCAACCGAGCCTGACAAGTATGATCCCCTTCCCGCTGTCCCGTCTGGAAGGACAGAGCTGGCCAGGCAGGTCGCTGGCAGGGGACCTGGCAGGTCAAGAGCAGGAAGAAGCGGAGCCAAAACTCTGCCTGTCTCCCATATACTCGTCCCAGAGATCAGGGAATGGAGGTGCACAATCCCCGATGGTTCCTGTACATCCCAACCTGTAAGCGTGCTCAGCTCAGCAGGCAGCAAGCCCAAAGATGTCTTTAACCACCCTGATGCTCTGGAGCAGCACACGGCTTGAGAGCTGCGTGGTTGTAACAGGGCAAACGCAAAAATAACCTCTAAATGACAGTGCTGAAAGGTGGGGGAGAGCCTCAAAAGCCACCGAGTGAGTCACGTCACTATGGCTTCCTCTGCTAAAATGAAGTGTTCCTTTTTGGTTTTAGGTTTATTGAATTGTCCTTCCTCCATGGGATGCTCAATGCATTTTCTGCTGGTGGGGTGGTTTGAAGTCAGCCGGGAGGGCAGGGGGGAGCGGAAACAGATGGCCATACTTTGGCTGCTCTGTTGGTCCTGGTAAGATCAGTTATAGCACTGTTGAAACAATTCCAGGTATTATTTTTGAATCTGGTTTCCTCTTCCAAGCTGTGTGTCCTCCAAAGAATCTGTCCAAAGTCTCAAGATACTTAGTCTTCAATCTAAAAGTCAGACTGCATTAGCCAGGCAAACTTGGTCTCAGCGAGCTTAAAATAAACCAGTTCACTTTGAGTCTCACACTATTAAATCAGTCGTGAACGTCCTCACGGCAACTAGACATTGCAGGTTTCCAGCTCTCCAGCATGCTTTTCTGGTTCCTCGTTTCTCGAGAGTGCACCAAAGAGCACCGCAACCTTGCTTAGCCCCAGCTCAGCCCAAAGGGGCAAATCCCCGGGGGCAAATTGCAAGAGCCTTGTTGAGGACAAGTTGTCCTACCAAATA